CAGTTACACTGGTCTGTAGTTTAATGCTACCTGTCTGTCTCTTTTCTTAAAAATTGAGACTACATTTGCTGTCTTCCATACCTCAGGTAGTCGTCTTGTTTCGATAGAGGGAGCACCTCTGCTCCCTCTCTCAGGACCCATGGAGAGATGTCCCGTCCCGCCACCACTGAGGTATCTAGTTCACTTAGCAACCTTTTCATTTCTTCCTCAATTGTAGTGTGTTCAGCAATTTTTGGGGCACCCTACTATTCCAGTTTGCTGGAGTCCATTCTGTCTCCATTGAAAATACTATCTTAAATCTTGCGTTTAGCTCTTCACATGCTTCTTTGTTGTTTCTAGTGATCTCTCCTCCTTCCTTCCTCAGCCTGATTACTTGGTCTTTGACTGTTGTTTTCCTCCCTGTGTAGCTGCACAACAGCTTTGGGTTAGATTACGATTTCGATGCTATGTCATTCTCATACTGCCGCTGGGCCTCCCTCCTTCATGCATATTCATTTCTGCCTCTACAGCTAATCTCCATATTTTCCTGGGTCCTTTGTCGTCTATAGTTTTTCAATTAACTTTCACACTTAATTTTGGCCTTTCTACACCTTCAGGTGAACGTAAGGCTCGTTCTGGTCTTTCCGTTGTTTCAGTTGCCTTTGGGTACGAACCTCTCCTTCGTCTCCTTGCATTATATGGTCATGTATTTCATCATTTCGTATGCTGTTTATCCCGTCAGTTCTCTTTCGCTCTGTATCTCATTCAGGAAATTCCTCATACCTATACAGTTCCTCTTTTATAGTTTGGCTTCTCCCATCCCACTCGTGCTCTTTCCCTCTCCACTTTTAGTTCTCCAGTGTATTCATAGTTCAGGACCACGTGATCACTAGCTCCGAGACGCCTTTTATATGTAATGTTCCCAATGTCTGAAGTACTCAAACTGACTATGAGGTCCAGTCTTGCTGGTTCATCTTCTCCGTTCTCTATGTGGTAACTTCCCTAACATGTTAATGCATGAAGTTTTCCAGTAGCGCCTCCATCATCTTAGTCCTACACGTTTTTGAAGAGCTGAGTCAGTGACTCAGAAATCCATGTCTACCCTATCACATCAGTGATTTGAAAGGGCATGACGTTAAAGCATGCAACTTTCTTTTTCTTTATAGTGTGTTATTTGACTCGATTAAGACGGTCCCTTGAGTGCTTAAGATGCGCCTGGTTGATCATATCTGTGAGTTTGGAAAGTTGATTAGCTATGACACCCTCTGGTGAGTTCGGAGCACTTCCAGTTCCTGATAAGCCTGAGAGGAGCAATGAATTTGTTTTCTAGGCAAACCAAAAGACTTACCTGATTGTTGGAGAGCAGGTACAGTACCTTCTTACCCCTCTCGTCTTTCTGAATATCTTACGACCACTGCTTATCAGGGAATTCATTTCATTTTTCTACTGATGTATACGTGGATTTTGTTGTCCTAATCTGCATGGTAACTGATGAACACGTGTTTCTCTTTATCTGCTGTGGTTGTATGGATAGATATATGGATAAACAGACAGACAGATAAATATAGAGAGTACCAATGGCTTTATTATTTTGTCTGGTTCAAATTCACAGCATAATGTCACATATGACAGGGATCCTTTCCTTCTTCCTGATTGTCTGTCACCTCGTAACCTAGGTTCCTCTCTTCTATGCTTGCCAGAAAATTTCCTTTAGTGTTGAGGCAGATAATTGGATTGCTCCCATTACCACTCATGATGTTTTACAAACTGCTTCCTATATCCTTCATCGCAGCCCCAGGAAAACATCCTCTGACTCCTATTCCTACTCCTGATACAAAAAAGACCTGTCCATTAATTTAATCTGGCAATACCTCACACAACAAAATTCTTACCTTCGCTAGAGGCTTTGTCGTTGTCATTGGTCTAATCACATTATCCGGCAACACGGTGAATAAATGGATAATCTCGACAGCTGTTTCTTTTAACCTCCAACTTTAGATTCAATCCCCTCTTAAAGATTAACTTTTATTTGTTGCAGCTGATTTCCTCTTTCTTGTTTCAGTATGTATCTGAAGTTGTATTTCTTCTTTAAGAAGCTGTATCTCGTCTCGAAGAAGCTGTATCTCCTCACAATTCAGGGAAGACGTCAAACACACTTCAGTTGCACTAATACTGAGACTCCACTATGCGAGTATTTAAAGGGCGCAGATCAACTCACTTTACGTAACAAGTTAATAAACACAAGTGAAGTGCATTGTCTTGTAAACACCGCCTCTCATTCATTTTAATAGTTTGCCTTTGATTCCTGCAATATTTTTAAGTTTTCAGATTTGTCTTTTATGAGTAACTGTTTCGAAAGCCTTTTTCTTTTTCATTTTCTCATTTACATATACTCCATCATCATCACCAAGCACTGCCCCCTTTTTCCTTTCTTTCGTATAACCATACCCTTCCTTCCCACCACGTTTCCCTCCCTTCCACTCTTCCTTTCCAAAGTCCTTCCCATTCTCCTCACCACCTTTTCTGTTCTCTACATCAGTTTAATACTTTAAACGTCACAGGGAGACACGAAAAATATTACTCATTACGACTTAATTGCGAAGGAAGCAATGGTGCGACCTTGATCTCGAGGGCAAGATGGTGATTAATAGAGGGAGAGAGGGTAGGGGAAGACGGGTGGAAGGAAAGATGGGAGTAGGGGAAGATAGGGAAGGGAATATGGGGAGGGGAAGATGGAGGAGGGGAAGATGGGTGGAGGAGAAAGGAGTAGAGCTAAGTGTTTCAGAGAACACTGAGGTTAGTATGAGTAAGTCAGTAGTCCGTAGGAGGAGGTGCTGATCGTGCCACCACCACCACAGAGCCAGTACTTTCATAACAGCACCAGCACTACAGTAATAGTGCCAACAATACCACAGTGCCAATACAAACACAATAGTGAAAAATCACCAGAGAAGTGCCAGTTTCATCACAATAGTGCCAACACTGCCCTAATAGTGCCAATGCCACTACAGTAGTTCAAACGCACCTGGAAAGTGCCAGCGTCACCACAACACTGCCAACACTACCACCATAAAATCGCAAACACTACTAAAATAGCGTCTACACAATCTTCACTGTTAAAAGTAAAGTGTCACCACTGTCCTAACACCATCACCAGTGACACTACAACTACGGCAACACCACCACAGTGATATCACCACCACCACAGTGACATTACCATTACTACGACAGAGATATACTTACCTCTACGACAGTGATAACACCACTATTAGGACAGTGACATCACCACTACTGCTACAGTGACATCACCACCACCACAAGTGACATCACCATCACCTCAGTGACATCAACATCACCTCAGTGACATCACCATCACCACCACAGTAACATCACTACTTCTACGACAGTGATATCAATACCACTACGACAGTGGCATCACTACCACCACTTCGACAGTGACATCATCATCACCACCACCACCACCACCACCATCACCACAGTGACATCAACACCACAACCACAGTGTCATCAATATTCACATCACAGTGACCTCATCATCACAGTGACATCACTACCACAGTAACATAATCACCACCACCACCACCCAAACTATTAACACGCGTCATCAGTTACTATCCTCTTCCCCCGACCACCAAAATCACCATAATTTCACCACTACCCTAGAAAGTGGCACCCAGTGGCACTGCCTACTGCCATGACTGCCGAGAGATGGGCGGTGGCAGTGAAACCTCGTCTGCATCAGGTGGCAGTGAAAACCCAGCAGGTGACTGACTGTCCAGCGAATTCTCTCTCCACACAAGCTGCGTACTAAGTCGCTGTGCCTTGAGTAATAATAAGAATAACAATAATAATAATAATAACAATAATAATAATAATTATTATTATTATTATTATTATTATTATTATTATTATTATTTTTTATTATTATTATTATTACTATTATTATTATTATTATTATTATTACTATTATTATTATTATTATTATTATTATTATTATTATTATTATTATTATTATTATCATTGTTGTTGTTGTTGTTGTTGTTGTTGTTGCTGCTATTATTTAATAATAATAATAATAATATTAGCAATAATGAATCTAATACGAAGTAGGAATTAGTCATACTTGGTTTTTACTGATGACGCAGTGGTTTTGGGAGATACTGAAGAGACGTTGGAAAGGTTGGGGGATAAATTTGGGTGGGTACATAAAAGAAAAAAATTCAAAGTGAACATAGCAAAGAGCAAGGTGATGAAGATAAAAAAAGAAAATTAGTCAACGAAAGATTGGATATCAGATTGGAGAGAGGGATTATAGAGGAAATGAATGTGTTCAGATATTTGGGAGTATGCTTGTCAGCAGATGGGTTGATAAGAGACGAGGTGAACCATAGAATTTAGGAGGTAAAAGGGTGAGTGGTGTATTAAGGCATCTGTGGAGACAAAACGTTATCCAAGGAGGCAAAATGGGAAATGTATGAAAGTATAGTGTACTAACAGTCTTATATTGAAGCATGAGTTGTGAATGTTGCAGCAAGGAGGAAGCTGGAGGCAGTGATGTCGTGACTAAGGGCAATGTATGGTGTGGATATTATGCAGAGAATTCGTAGTTTGAAGATTTGGAGGTATGGGGTTACTAAAAGCATTATCTAGAGGGCTGAGGAGGGGTTATTGAAAATGGTTTGGAAATTTAGAAAGGATGGATCAAAATAGAATGACTTGGATGGTATATAAATCTGTAGTGAAGTGAAGAAATGGTAGGGGTGGTCTTATGAAAGGTTGAAGGGAGGTTTTGTATGTGAGAGGTTTGGACGTCCAACAAGGGTGTGTGGACGTGTTAAATAGGAGTAAAGGTAAGTAGTTTTTTATGACTTTCACGTGCTGTTAGAGAGTGAGCTAGGTAAAATTTATGAAGGGATTCAGTATCTTAAATTGTACTTCCCTGGTATACTAAATCTGTACTCGTATTAGCCACTATCATGACACATTAACTTGCTTCACAGAACGCCAAGGATATGGAGAGCGGTGGAGGAAGTGCCTCATCTCCAACAGACGAGGACAACCAGGTCTGTCTTATGGTGGAAAGTCCCTTCAGAATCCTCAAGGTGAGTCTACACTAATAAGGAATTCATGGAGAAAATTAACTTAAGGTATTGTACAACTCAGATATTTATGTTAGAGCCCATATAGGTATCTTCAGATGCTGTGAACTGCAGGCAGATGAGAACACGAGGGTAACAAGAGGCTCTAGTGTGATAATAACATGTGTTTTCCAGACTCCCAAGCTAAGCTTTGGTGTTGAGGACAACCTAAAGAACAGCAAAGTCTTATGACTGAACTTTTGTCACGTCGACAATCTAAATGAATTCTTTATGAACGAGACCCAAAATTTAGTCATTTCAAAAATGACATGCCCATGCACTCTGCCCTTGGCCCAGACTCATGTAACTCCGTGCTCATCAGTAACTGCAAGAATCCCCTGTCACATGCCTTCAGCATTCTATGGAGAGGGAGCATGGACACAGGGGTCATCTCACACTCACTAAAAACAACAGACATAGCCCCACTCTACAAAGGTGGCAGTAAAGCAATTGCAAAGAACTACAGATCGATAGCACTAACATCCCATATCATAAAAATCTTTGAAAGGGTTCTAAGAGGCAAGATCGCCAACCACCTAGATACCCATCAGTTAAACAACCCAGGGCAACACAGGATTAGACCAGGTCGCTCCTGCCTGTCCCAGCTAATGGACGACTACGACAAGGTGCTGGATGCTATAGAGTATAAACAAAATACAGATGCATTATACACAGACTTTGCAAAAGCCTTCGACAAGTGTGACCATGGTGTAATAGCTCAAAAAAAATGCATGATAAAGGAATAACAGAAAAAGTCAGTAGATGGATCTATAACTTCCTAACAAATAGAACACAAAGAGTAACAGTAAACAGAGTAAGTAAATAGAGTAAAGTCTGAGGTAGCTACGGTGAAAAGCTCTGTTCCACAAGGCACAGTACTCGCTCCCATCATATTCGTCATCCTCATAACTGACATAGATCGAGATATGTCTTCTTTTGCGGATGACACCCGAATTGGTATGACAGTGTCCTCCATCTAAGACACCACAAGACTCCAAGCGGACATCAACCAAACCTTCAAATGGGCCAATCAAAATAATATGAAGTTCAATGAATAGATATTTCACCTACTCAGATATGGAAAACTTGAGAAAATTAAAACTGTATCAGGGTACACAACAAATTCTAGCCATAAAATAAAGCGAAAACGTAATGTGAAGGACCTGGGAGTGATAATGTCAGAGGATCTCACCTTCAAAGACCACAACAATGTATCTACTGCATCTGCTAGAAAAATGATAGGATGGATAATGAGAACCTTCAAAACTAGGGACGCCAAGCCCATGATGATTCTCTTCAAACCACTTGTTCTCTCTAGGCTGGAATATTGCTGTACACTAACTGCCCCCTTCAAGGCTGGCGAATTTGCTGCCCTGGAGAGTGCACAAAGAACTTTCACGACACACATAAGTACGATAAGGCACCTAAATTACTGGAAAGGGTTGAAGTCCTTCGATTTGCATTCCCTGGAACGCAGGCGAGAGAAATACATGATAATATACTCTTGGAAAATCCTAGAGGAATTAGTACTAAACTTGCACACGAAAATCACTCCCTATGAAAGAAAAAGACTCGGCAGGAGATGCAACATTTCCCCAATGAAAAGCAGGGGCGTCACGAGTACACTGAGAGACAAACCAATAAGTGCCAGGGGCCCAAGACTGTTGAACTGCCTCCCAGCATACATCAGGGGGTTACTAATAGACCCCTGGCTGCCTTCAAGAAGGCACTGGACAGGCCCCTACAGTCAGTACCTGACCAGCTGGGCTGTGGTTCGTACGTCAGTTTGCGTGCAGCCAGCAGTAACAGCCTGGTTGATCAAACCCTGATCCACCACGAGGCCTGGTCTCAGACCGGGCCGCGGGGGGCGTTGACCCCGAAACCCTCTCCAGGTATCTCCAGGTATCCAAGTACGTGTCTTTGTTGTTTCATTTATTCATTCCAGTAAGTTTACAGACGCACTAGCGTCTTCATATTACGTAATTTCCTTTGAAGTAGAGCTGTGATAAACTCCATCTTATTATCTATGAACAGCAGCCTATACATCCTTGTATTTCGTACCTGCTTTCAGTCTGCCATATGTCTCTGTTTAGGTTGTGGGATTTATTAATATTGAATTCTTTCGTGTATTGTATAGTTTATTAGTGTCTTGCTACCTACTCCACCAACTTGCGTAGGACGCTCGTCATAAATGAAGGCGGCGTTGAGGACTGCTAGCCAAGTTTCCATCTTCAATATTGGTACTACACTGGATGTTGTTTGAGATATCTGGGACCTCGATTGCTTCTTGTGCTTTATTGAATGTTGAATGACTCTCCCATAAGAACGTAAGAAAGGAAGAACACTGCAGCAGGCCTGTTGGCTCATACTAGACAGGTCCTTCACAATCCGTCCCAATAACAGAATATTTGCCCAACCCAATTTTCAGTTCTACCCAAGCAATAAGCTTTGATAATTTTATTAACTTTGGCTGTTGTTTTAATGCTTGACAATTCCACCGAGTTATTACTATTCTTTATATTTCTAGTACTGTCCCTCGCTCAGTTTGAAGATGCAATAGAATCTTGTTTTGACTTCACTTTCTTGTTTTGTCATCTTTACCCGGAGACTTATAATGTCGTTTTTTTTCCCCTGATGTGGCTGTTACATTGATACGATTCAGCCTTAGCCCTGGCTGCTAAGACATTTTTTGAAATTAAGACACATGTGCAACATCTGGGTATCTTTATTGTAGACGTGTCGCCATCCAGTGGCTTTATCAATACAAATTCCAGGACATAACTTGAAGACAGTAGAAATATGTACACAAGATGATTACCTCATCTGGGATGAATATCTGTGGCCATCTTGTCATTGCAGATGCTTCCCTCCCTCTAAACGAGTTGATGTTAATGAGCCCTATTTCCTTTACATAATTTTTAAAGTCTTCCCTCTATACATTAGGGTTTTCTCTCGTCATTTAAAGGACACGTTGTCCTATGTCGCACACAATATTTATATACGTATTTAAAGTTATTGTTTTCATAGTGGAATATGACTGAATTTATTATTATTGCTACGTTAATTTCGTTTAGGTTACAATATCAATGCTTGTGGGATTTTTTCTAATGCTATTATATTCATCCTTCTGGCTGTTGTGCCCGTGGGCACTTCCGGTACCTTCTCCTCTCTCCTTCTCTCACTCCAGTGAACACGCTCATCTGGGAACATATTCGAGTGGAAACCCTCCTCTTTTCTGCAATTTTGCAAGCTGATGATGTGTTGATTGCAACACGAAAAGCCTAGAGCTATCTTTCTACTCCTCCCGTGGTTGTTTTGCATATATATATATATATATATATATATATATATATATATATATATATATATATATATATATATATATATATATATATATATATATATATATATATATATATATATATATATATATATATATATATATTTATTATTATTATCACACTGGCCGATTCCCACCAAGGCAGGGTGGCCCGAAAAAGAAAAACTTTCACCATCATTCACTCCATCACTGTCTTGCCAGAAGGGTGCTTTACACTACAGTTTTTAAACTGCAACATTAACACCCCTCCTTCAGAGTGCAAGCACTGTACTTCCCATCTCCAGGACTCAAGTCCGGCCTCCCGGTTTCCCTGAACCCCTTCATAAATGTTACTTTGCTCACACTCCAACAGCACGTCAAGTATTAAAAACCATTTGTCTCCATTCATTCCTATCAAACACGCTCACGCATGCCTGCTGGAAGTCCAAGCCCCTCGCACACAAAACCTCCTTTACCCCCTCCCTCCAACCTTTCCTAGGCTGACCCCTACCCCGCCTTCCTTCCACTACAGACTGATACACTCTTGAAGTCACTCTGTTTCGCTCCATTCTCTCTACATGTCCGAACCACCTCAACAACCCTTCCTCAGCCCTCTGGACAACAGTTTTGGTAATCCCGCACCTCCTCCTAACTTCCAAACTACGAATTCTCTGCATTATATTCACACCACACATTGCCCTCAGACATGACATCTCCACTGCCTCCAGCCTTCTCCTCGCTGCAACATTCATCACCCATGCTTCACACCCATATACGAGCGTTGGTAAAACTATACTCTCATACATTCCCCTCTTTGCCTCCAAGGACAAAGTTCTTTGTCTCCAGACTCCTAAGTGCACCACTCACCCTTTTCCCCTCTTCAATTCAATGATTCACCTCATCTTTTATAGACCCATCCGCTGACACGTCCACTCCCAAATATCTGAATACATTCACCTCCTCCATACTCTCTCCCTCCAATCTGATATCCAATCTTTCATCACCTAATCTTTTTGTTATCCTCATAACCTTACTCTTTCCTGTATTCACTTTTAATTTTTTTTTTAATTTTCACTTTTAAATTTCTTCTTTTGCACACCCTACCAAATTCATCCACCAATCTCTGCAACTTCTCTTCAGAATCTCCCAAGAGCACAGTGTCATCAGCAAAGAGCAACTGTGACAACTCCCACTTTATATATATATATATATATATATATAATATATATATATATATATATATATATATATATATATATATATATATAACCAGTGCCATTACCAAATGGAAGACTTTTGCTGTTCCAGCACTGAAACCTAGTGCAGCACTGGCCTACAACAGTCGAGCTGAGATGGCCCCATCACTTAAAGGTGCTTGCCAACTAGCTCAAGGCTGCAATATCGAACAGGGATACTGCCTGTCTCCAAGCTGTAAGTGCACATCACTCCGGGGACTTCCTCCAAACAGTTTCCATTTCGACAATGGGAATATGCCTCAACTCACAGACCCTCCGTATTGCAGCGGCTCTCTGCCTCGATGCCCCAATTCACACAGAATATATGTGTATTTGCTGCGAAGCGCTAGCCGACCATTGTGGTCTACAAAGTCTTAACTGCTCCCGAATCAAGGGCTGGCATACAAAACACAATGAAGTCAAGGACATCATAAAGAGGAGCCTTGCTACACCTGGGTAGAGAGAGAGAGCCCTGATCCCTAGCATCAGCAATGCTCACAATCCTGCAAACCGCCCCAACTGGATCACCATCTATCCTTGGAAGAATGGCATGGTTTTAACATGGGACTATATCTGCGTGTCGACACTGGCTCACACCTACATCCATTACAGTGTTTGGCAACATGGAGGTGCTGCAGATCATAGGGAAAAGTACAAGATCAGCAAGTACAGAGATATAAGCCATCAGTATCAATTTGTTCCAGTGTGACTGGAGACCCTGGGATCATGGGGAAAAACACCGCACGTTTCCTCAAAGAATTGGGTTCTAGACTCACTGACACCACCAGGGACCCGAAGGAGGCCACTTTCATGTTCCAGCGCCTCAGCGTGGCCATCCAGAAGGAAAATGCTTGCTGCGTACATGGCTCACATTTTCCCATTCCCAACATTGACACATTTTCCCTACGATCCCCATTGGGAAGGGGAACTTTACTTATCCACTCAATGGCATCTTCCACGATGCACTTCTAAAACCGAGTGAAGATCAAATCAGCAAGTGTGACAGTCAGTGACTCATCCAAGCTAGCACTCGCAGCTGCCATCAGTGGCACTCTGCGAGTCAGGTGCAATGCGATTCTCTCGCTCAAGGAAGCTTTCCTAGTCGTCTGCACTAACGACATCGAGGCTGAGAAACTAATCACCACCGATGCTACCTCCACTTTCCAACAACGAGGATTTTAAGTCATGACTTCCCCAGCTTTGAGGGCTAAGAGAACTGTGTTTCTCAAGTGGCTGGACAAGCTCATCACTACTCAAGATATCGCAGAAATCAAATCATCCATTGAAGACCAGAACACTTGGGTCAAGATAAAACATATCACTGAGACGCCTAACGTCAACATTGTAGCCAGAGATCTCGCTAAGGGACTGGCTATCCACTATTTTCACATCAATCCAGCCTACACTGAAGCAGAGAAATTCGAGCACATCCCACAGTGTTATAACTGTTACTCATACCTGCACATCACTAAAGACTGTTCCACCAAGGACAAGAAGCTCTGCTCTACCTGCGGCAAAGGACATGATTTCAAGACTTGTACCATCACCACTCAACCTAAATGCCTGAACTACAAAAATGGCCACCATACCTTTGCTGCCAAGTGTCCAACGAGGCGTGCAGCACTCAAGAAACAACTTGAACAGCAGAACAAAACCACTGTTCAAGCTACTACATATGCTGCTGTTACCAAGCTCCAAGCAGATGCCTCCAAGATTCTCAAAGCCACTCAGTCTGCGTCTTCCACTAGTACATCATCCTCTCCACTTCCTTAAGGCGACTCCAAAATCCTCTACTGCATCATGTACACTCATGTACACATTGTAGCTGCACCTTGATCACTCAACACCACCATCAACGAACTCTTCAAACTCAACAATATGCCAGGATTCACATTCCCTGACTCTCCACCTTCGTCGGACATCATAATATCCACTAACAGTACCGTCAAGATCTCCACAGCTCCATCTCCACCGCCTCCCTCCGCCAAAGGAATGGACCAGTCACAGACCACCGAGACGCCGCCAAATCCCACCAATGAGAGACCGCCAATTTCCTCTCCCTCTACTGCCTCAACCGACCAATCATCGACCACACCTGCCTCTGAGACCAAGCCAGATTACTACGGTAAACCTGGTATCAAGCTCTATACCACGAAACCTTATAACAACGTAATGTTTGGCCAAGAATTCGAACAACGACTCCTGGATGGGGCTGTCCAGTACACCTGTGATGAAGAACCACCTTGGACGAGGTACTCTACCTCCTCACCACTTCTGGACCAGACCCCACAATTCCATTCAAAGCACGGCACTTCACAAGAACGAAGTTCAACGCTCTCACCAATGGCTCGGTTGTATAACCAGCTTCTCAATGATCATCCACCGCCAAGCTGAAGTCCCCCAGCACTTTGCTATTTAGCTAAAGCTGAGGTGTGGCTTCAATCGACCCTAATTTAGTTGCCATCTCCGCTCTTCCTGCCGTCTCATGCCTGCCTCCCACAGTACACAGCTGTTCCCAGAAATCCTCACGCATCGACATCGACATCGACACCTGCTCAACTTGCTCAGAGTGGATGGGGCACTAACCTTTATTATCCCACCTCCTCCACCATCCCAACCCCTTCCCATATTTCCTTACCCATCCTTCTTCCTTCCCCATCTTATCGATGCTCAGGTCAGAACCTCGCACCTCGCACATGGCTCACGTCCAGCTTCAGAGCGGGAGGAGATTCATAATCTTTCATATATTGTACCAGTGTTTGTGTTTTTAAAATAAATGATCCACATGGAATAACCATTCAAGTCCCCCCATGGTTGGAAATATAAACACATATGCAGTATAATGTGATCCTTTATTGACTACGTTTCGCCCACACAGTGGGCTTTTTCAAGTCACAAACAGAACTACCTGGGGTGGAAGGAACGCGTAGTTCCTGTTTGTGACTTGAAAAAGCCCACTGTGTGGGCGAAACGTAGTCAATAAAGGATCACATTATACTGCATATGTGTTTATATTTCCATTGTGTCGGTATTTATACCATTTATTTCCATCCCCCCATGGTTGTTTTGCATATATATATATATATATATATATATATATATATATATATATATATATATATATATATATATATATATATATATATATATATATATATATATATATATATATTATATATATTTATTTTTTTTTTTTTTTTTATTATCACACCGGCCGATTCCCACCAAGGCAGGGCGGCCCGAAAAAGAAAAACTTTCACCATCATTCACTCCATCACTGTCTTGCCAGAAGGGTGCTTTACACTACAGTTTTTAAACTGCAACATTAACACCCCTCCTTCAGAGTGCAGGCACTGTACTTCCCATCTCCAGGACTCAAGTCCGGCCTGCCGGTTTCCCTGAATCCCTTCATAAATGTTACTTTGCTCACACTCCAACAGCACGTCAAGTATTAAAAACCATTTGTCTCCATTCACTCCTATCAACACGCTCACGCATGCCTGCTGGAAGTCCAAGCCCCTCGCACACAAAACCTCCTTTACCCCCTCCCTCCAACCCTTCCTAGGCCGACCCCTACCCCGCCTTCCTTCCACTACAGACTGATACACTCTTGAAGTCATTCTGTTTCGCTCCATTCTCTCTACATGTCCGAACCACCTCAACAACCCTTCCTCAGCCCTCTGGACAACAGTTTTGGTAATCCCGCACCTCCTCCTAACTTCCAAACTACGAATTCTCTGCATTATATTCACACCACACATTGCCCTCAGACATGACATCTCCACTGCCTCCAGCCTTCTCCTCGCTGCAACATTCATCACCCACGCTTCACACCCATATAAGAGCGTTGGTAAAACTATACTCTCATACATTCCCCTCTTTGCCTCCAAGGACAAAGTTCTTTGTCTCCACAGACTCCTAAGTGCACCACTCACTCTTTTTCCCTCATCAATTCTATGATTCACCTCATCTTTCATAGACCCATCCGCTGACACGTCCACTCCCACATATCTGAATACGTTCACCTCCTCCATACTCTCTCCCTCCAATCTGATATTCAATCTTTCATCACCTAATCTTTTTGTTATCCTCATAACCTTACTCTTTCCTGTATTCACCTTTAATTTTCTTCTTTTGCACACCCTACCAAATTCATCCACCAATCTCTGCAACTTCTCTTCAGAATCTCCCAAGAGCACAGTGTCATCGGCAAAGAGCAGCTGTGACAACTCCCACTTTGTGTGTGATTCTTTATCTTTTAACTCCACGCCTCTTGCCAAGACCCTCGCATTTACTTCTCTTACAACCCCATCTATAAATATATTAAACAACCACGGTGACATCACACATCCTTGTCTAAGGCCTACTTTTACTGGGAAAAAATTTCCCTCTTTCCTACATACTCTAACTTGAGCCTCACTATCCTCATAAAAACTCTTCACTGCTTTCAGTAACCTACCTCCTACACCATACACTTGCAACATCTGCCACATTGCCCCCCTATCCACCCTGTATATATATATATATATATATATATATATATATATTATATATATATATATATATATAATATATATATATATATATATATATATATATATATATATATGCCAATAGAGGGAAGGAACGGAAATCAGCCCGGGTTGGAGTGTCTGTGAATACGTCCTGGAAGAGGTGCTTTTATAAACACACCTACCGGCTTATCTCTTTCTTTCCGCTATTACAGGCTCTTGAAAAAGTGTTGGTTATAACACGAAAGGCCTATGTTTCAGGAACCTTGACTTGTAGCAGGTCAACAACGACGGATAAGTAAACCAATTGTTCGTGAGGGTGAATAATCATGAATAAATAATAGACTGATACTCATTCAACAACAAATATATACGAGTATAAGTATGACAGAACTGTTGAACTACAGAACACTGAAGGAAAGTCATTGAAGTAACCCGAACAGTAAACAGTGAACGCGAGGTTCCAGTGGAAAACTTCGTGGAGAGTGTCAATAGTTCAACGTTACTAAGAGCTCAAGACAAATCTAATTTCTTACTGTTAATATTTTATTAAACTGCAATATTTTCTTTAGAACAGGTTACACGTAACTGCACAAGCACATTTGGGGAACAGTGTTGTATGGACAGAGATCAAACGTAAAATGAGTTCACGTGAACAAGTGAAAAGTAAAATACCTCAGTGAAATACATCAGTTTGGATAAACCTCATTAATCAGTCCTTCCGACAGCCACTGGAATAATTCATAGTGGTACCGAAAGTAGTGGTCAGGGAGAAGCTGCTGATTGCTCACACTACAATAGTATTGTTATATACACAGTTTATTAACCATGTAAAATTCCCCATGGTGTACTTGTCTTGCCTTAATCTATTACCGCTCCGCCGGCAGGTGGCCGCTAAGGGTGATGTAGGAGAGTTGGAGCGTCTCTACATGGGGGACCCCGAGCGTGTGGGTGTGGTGGACAAGAGAGGCTGGACAGCCTTGCACCACGCAGCCGCACACAACCAGACACAAGCAATACTCTTCCTCGTACAACACAAGGCAGGTGAGTCAAGCTGAGAGGAAGGGAAAGAGAGGAAATGAAGAAAAGAGGGAAGGAAGCAAGGGGGTAGAGAAGGAAGGAAGTAGAGAGGGGATGTATTATAGTTCAGAAAAGAAAGAGACGTTGTCTAGTTTTTCAGTTTCAATTTGTGGGCTAATTATGAAGTGTTCACGTCACAGAAATGTGACTGTAGCATGAGAGGTGTGATGAAGGGAAGAAGATAAGGGGGCTAGAGAGGGGTAAACCAGAGAAATGTGAGAGCAAATACATAGTTTAACGTGAAAAAAAAGTTGCAGTAGAAGCTTTTGCAATGTATAGTTCAAAATAATCAAAATCCACATAATTCAAACAGCGGGAAAGCAATCAAATTGGCCGAAAAATGGCATAATGTGAAAAACTTATTTTAAATATTTAAGTTTCCGTACCAAACACTGCAAATTTGTGTTCACATTAGAGCCTATTAACCTCTTTCTCGGATACGAATGAAGATGCCAACTATTAGTGAAGATACGTCAGCAACATTTACATTAACGGCAACACAGAACATTCTGTTTACCTTATAATTCCTGTAGCATAAATTTTTGCAGAGGAGAATCCATTCCACAGCAGTACAGAAGCTTCGGACCGTCACTAAAAAAAACAGTTCCAAGTGTGAGAGACCCGAGAACTTACAGCAGAGGCGTTCCTAAAGACTTGCACTTCTATTGGTAAACTGATGAAAAACACCTGATGTTAGCACACCTGATGTTAGCACACCTGATGTTAGCACACCTGATGTTAGCACACCTTGTATCTACCCTGGAGAACTACCTGGAAGAGCCTGTGTACACAGATTACTCCCATCAGCACATGAAGCAGAAACTTTACAATCACTGTGGTGATGATATCGTAATATGTTGTAGAGGCGCAAAGATGACAGTGACAGCGTGAGACTGTGCCCACCATACTTCCAAGATAACAGGATATACCTCGAGAAAATTATGATACAAATGAAAAAGTACACTTTATTGAAACAACAGCTAGATTAATAAAAAATGACATCAGTAATCATGCTTCTGTCTTAAAGGATACGAATCCACCTGCATCTCCGAAGCTTCATCCCAGTATCTCCATGACAGTCTTCCAGTTTTACATAAGGCTTGTTCTTGACAAAGATGTTCATGTGAAATTTGCCTTCATTGGAAAAAGTATTATGCAATAAGTTGGACCAAAAGCCATAATTGCTCCATTGCAATTGGGTCTTGGACTGCAAATGCATTAGCCACATCGATCTAAGCATCTACTGTATACTCTGAATCATCTTAGCTTTTTTTCTGCTTCATACATCGAAATGAACAAGTTTGGAAGCTGTTCAGCTATTGCGCAGAATATTCTGTTAGCACATGAAGCTAAGATTTTGTCACTCCTCGTTGCAGATAACGTTGATCACAACGTTTGTGTTCTAGACGGGAAAAGCACTTTCATGGGCTGGGTATTAGTGCGATTACCCCTGACAATTATGTTGATCGATCTACACCCAAACATGCAGTTACAGAAGCTGACATAGGAATGCTTCCAGCAGGGTCAATATACGATTACAAAGAAGCCACGTCATTGTGATTTCATGGAAGAAACATTTACCTTCCCTAGCTGGTGTTAAGGCACTCTGGATATCAAATGCTAAATTGGTCCGAAACTATGTAAATCCTCCTTGTGGAACCATCTTCAGTGAGAAAATCCTCAGATATTCGTCTACCAGTCACAGATCCACAACAACCCAGTGACGTGATATAACTTATCTCAACACTCAGACATTTCAGCAAACTTACATAACTCTAGAAAGTTTCTGTTTTCGAAAGCCTCACTAATCCTGAATGACGACTCACACAAAAATGATATGCAGGATGTAATTTAAGTGCCAGAATCACTCCTCACCTTCACGACATTCTTAGCGGCCGTAAGTAGTTGATGGATGATTCAGACTTGCCTGAGATACTACTGCTTGAGATACTCCTGTCTGAGATACTCCTGCTCGAGATACTCCTATCTGAGATACTCCTGACTGAGATAATCCTGTCTGAGATACTCCTGACTTAGATATTCCTGCTTGAGATACTCCTGTCTGAGATACTCCTGCTTGAGATACTTCTGCTTGAGATACTCCTATCTGAGATACTCCTGCTCGAGATACTCCAGTCAGAGATACTCCTGACTGAGATAATCCTGTCTGAGATACTCCTGACTTAGATATTCCTGCTTGAGATACTCCTGTCTGAGATACTCCTGCTTGAGATACTTCTGCTTGAGATACTCCTATCTGAGATACTCCTGCTTGAGATACTCCTGTCTGAGATACTCCTGCTTGAAATACTTCTGCTTGAGATACTCCTATCTGAGATACTCTTGTCTGAGATACTCCTGCTTGAGATACTCCTGTCTGAGATACTCCTGCTTGAAATACTTCTGCTTGAGAAACTCCTATCTGAGATACTCCTGCTTGAGATACTCTAGTCCGAGATACTCTTGCTTGAGATACTCCTCCTTAAGATACTCCCACTTGAGATACTCCTGTCTCAGATACTCCTACTAGAGATACTACTGCTTGAGATACTCCTGCTTGAGATATTCCTACTTGAGATACTCCTGCTTGAGATACTCCTGCTTGAGATACTCCTTTCTGAGATACTCCTGCTTGAGATACTATTATCTGAGATACTCCTGTATGAGATACTCCTGCTTGAGATAATATTGTCTGAGATACTCCTACTTGAGATACAATTGTCTGAGATACTCCTGCTTGAGATACTCCTGCTGAGATACTCCTGCTTGAGATACTCCTGTCTGAGATACTCCTGCTTGAGATACTATTATCTGAGTTACTCCTGTATGAGATACTCCTGCCTGACATAATATTGTCTGAGATACTCCTGCTAGAGATAATATTGTCTGAGATACTCCTGTCCGAGATACTACTGCTTGAGATACTTCTGCTTGAGATACTCCTATCTGACATATTCCTGTATGAGATACTCCTGCCTGAGATACTCCTGCTTGAGATACTCCTGTCTGCGATACTCCTGCTTGAGATACTCCTGTCTGCGATACTCCTGCTTGAGATACTATTGTCTGAGATACTCCTGCTGAGATACTCCTGCTTGAGATACTATTGTCTGAGATACTCCTGCTGAGATACTCCTGCTTGAGATACTATTGTCTGAGATACTCCTGATGAGATACTCCTGCTTGAGATACTATTGTCTGAGATGCTCCTGCTTCAGATACTATTGTCTGAGACACTCTTGCTGAGATACTCCTGCTTGAGATACTATAGTCTGAGATACTCCTGCTGAGATACTCCTGCTTGAGATACTATTGTCTGAGATACTCCTGCTGAGATACTCCTGCTTGAGATACTATTGTCTGAGATGCTCCTGCTTCAGATACTATTGTCTGAGACACTCTTGCTGAGATACTCCTGCTTGAGATACTATAGTCTGAGATACTCCTGCTGAGATACTCCTGCTTGAGTTACTATTGTCCGAGATGCTCCTGCTTGAGATACTAATGTCTGAGATGCTCCTGCTTGAGATACTATTGTCTGAGATACTCATGCTGAGATACTCCTGCTTGAGATACTATTGTCTGAGATACTCCTGCTAAGATACTCCTGCTTGAGATACTATTGTCTGAGACACTCCTGCTAAGATACTCCTGCTTGAGATACTATTGTCTGAGATACTCCTGCTGAGATACTCCTGCTTGAGATACTATTGTCTGAGATACTCCTGCTAAGATACTCCTGCTGAGATACTATTGTCTGAGATACTCCTGCTGAGATACTCCTGCTTGAGATACTATTGTTTGAGATACTCCTGCTGAGATACTCCTGCTGAGATACTATTGTCTGAGATACTCCTGCTGAGATACTCCTGCTTGAGATACTATTGTTTGAGATACTCCTGCTGAGATACTCCTGCTTGAGATACTATTGTCTGAGATACTCCTGCTGAGATACTCCTGCTTGAGATACTATTGTCTGAGATACTCCTGTCTGTCTGTGTTTGTGCTGATATCAGAGAAAGGAAGTAATAAAGTGATGGTAGGAGTGTTGGTGTGACGGCTGGAGTGGTGGTGTGACGGCTGGAGTGGTGGTGTGACGGCTGGAGTGTTGGTGTGACGGCTGGAGTGGTGGTGTGACGGCTGGAGTGGTGGTGTGACGACTGGAGTGGTGGCGTGACGGCTGGAGTGGTGGCGTGACGGCTGGAGTGTTGGTGTGACGGCTGGAGTGGTTGTGTGACGGCTGGAGTGTTGGTGTGACGGCTGGAGTGGTGGCGTGACGGCTGGAGTGTTGGTGTGACGGCTGGAGTGGTTGTGTGACGGCTGGAGTGTTGGTGTGACGGCTGAAATGATGGTGTGACGGCTGGAGTGGTGGTGTGACGGCTGGAGTGTTGGTGTGACGGCTGGAGTGTTGATGTGACGGCTGGAGTGTTGGTGTGACGGCTGGAGTGTTGGTGTGACGGCTGGAGTGGTGGTGTGTGACGGCTGGAGTGGTGGTGTGACGACTGGAGTGTTGATGTGACTGCTGGAGTGGTGGTGTGACGGCTGGAGTGGTGGTGTGACGGCTGGAGTGGTTGTGTGACGGCTGGAGTGGTGGTGTGACGGCTGGAGTGGTGGTGTGACGGCTGGAGTGTTGGTGTGACGGCTGGAGTGGTGGTGTGACGGCTGGAGTGGTTGTGTGACGGCTGGAGTGGTGGTGTGACGGCTGGAGTGTTAGTGTGACGGCTGGAGTGGTGGTGTTACGGCTGGAGTGATTGTGTGACGGCTGGAGCAGTGATGTGACGGCTGGAGTGGTGGTGTGACGGCTGGAGTGGTGGTGTGACGGCTGAACTGGTGGTGTGACGGCTGGAGTGGTGGTATGACGGCTGGAGTGGTGGTGTGACGGCTGGAGTGGTGGTGTGACGGCTGGAGTGGTGGTGTGATGGCTGGAGTGGTGTGACGGCTGGAGTGGTGGTGTGACGGCTGGA